GACACACCTACCTGATGTATTGCCATGCTGGACAAACACTCTAACACTTGAGTCCCAACTCCCAGGCTTTGAGCTCTGACCTCTGTCTTTGTTCTTCCACAGGCTGTAAACACATGTGACATCTTGTAAGTATGAGTCTTTGTCAATAATTGTCAATCAAGGCAGGGGGATGGGTGAGTGCTCAGATTCTGCCCTGGATAAGGTGACAGACACCTACTTCATGACTCCTTTGCTGAAACCATAGCCCCTCTCACCTAACCCAACCTCAGGATCTGCAGGTCTGTAACTGCTGCTAATCCCCAACCTTTCATAGCTGGGGAGGGAAGTCAAATGAGCAATGTCCCACTCCTTCCTCCCATGTAAGATCAGCATCCTGACCATTCTGCCTGAGGAACAATGGCATACTGCCCTGATGAACTCTGAACTCAGGTCTCAAGTCCAGATCCTAATTCCTCCCAGTGAACCCAGGATGGATCTGTACCCCACACCCACCCTCTAAAGGAGGCTGGCAACCCGAGGGTCTAAGTGTCTATGGGAGCTGGGACCCTTTGGTTGGGCACTCTGATGCCATCAGTTTCTCCCTATGCCTATGTGTCCTTCTAGAAACTGCCCCAACGGATTCAGATGCTGTCACAATAAATGCTGCCTGGAAACACAGGTCTGGAATCCTGAAAATGAACCCTTCAGGTAAGCCCAGGGTCACCACTTTAGGGCATCATTCACTGAGGTCTGTGTCCACATCAAACAGGGTGGGGGTGGGTGATGGGGGTGGGAAGGGAGCATGACCTAGGCACTCATCACAAACCATCCCCGTCCTCCCTAGGATCATGTTGGTCATCTTATTGATCATGCTCCCCCTCTTATGCATCTGTGGCCTAGTGAGGCACTTCTGTCCCAACTGCAGAAAACAACAGCGTGAAGTCAGAACAACAGATCATCAGACAACTCCAGAACCGCCCTCCAGTGCTCCCCTAGAGAGCATTTGGGTCACCTCCATGGATCCCCCACCACCCTACAGTCAGGTGGGTCTTTCTGTTCCAATACCTAATGTGTTTCATAGCTGGCTGTCCAACCTGTTAAAATAATGGATTGGGGAGGGCTCTGCCATCGATATTTGTCATTGTTCACCCAGACCCTAAGTAAAACAAGTATCCCTTTTCTCTTGCAGGTTGTTCTGAAATCAACTCCCACAGAACCACCTCCTCCCTACAGCCTCAGGCCTGAGGGCTCTGCTGTCCAGATAAGAGGGACTGGCTATGATACGCTTTGAGCTACCTCGCACACAAACCTCTTGGATCAAGCCCATCACCCTGGAATGACTGCTTATCCATTCATGTCTCTTGTCCTTTGATTTAATTTATTGTTTTATATACTGCTGCCACCTTTGCTTTTGTCATCAGAGCTGAGATGGATCCATAGTGTCTGTCCCACACTAAAGCCCGTTGAAATTTTTGAGGATTTAGGGGTACCTTTATTAGATTTAGAGAGATCATTGCTATTGGACTGTCATTCTTGATGGGACAGCTCCCTCTGCCATCCTAGAGAAGCACTTCTGTTTCTGGAAGAGATTGAAGATTGAGCTGCACAGACTCTGAGTCATCTTCCAACCATACCTGGGCAGAGAGGACCTCGCTGGACCTCTATAGCAATGCAAACAACACAGGCACTGAGTTTCAATGGCTGGCTGCTAAGTGATGATGGAGACAGACTCAGAGGCTAAGGAAACACTTGCAGCTTCTTCCAGTGGTGACTGACTGACTAACCCCCTGCTGGGAGGACTGAGCATCCAAGAGGGGAATGAATACTTAGACGTTCAACTTCCTGGGATCTTGGGCACACCAAAGACATGAACTGGAAAGCCCCTGGGATCCCCTTCTAGTCCTGGGCCTTGCTTTCTTCAGAGACAATAACTTGATGAAGCATGGGACTCTTATGGAGATCCAAGCCACAAGACAGCCTTCTAGGAGAAGGTAGGGTGGGATGAAAGCCTGGAGAAACAGGCATGGTTAGACTGTTGTGTGGAGTCAGGCCAGGGACCATTTCCTTCCTCATTCCTCTCCAGGAATCTCCTGCAGGGAGAGGGGAGGCAGACTCCCTATTGCTCTTCCTCCTAAGCCTAGGTTCCAGGCTCTACAGCCCATCCCCACCCAAAATTAACTCCTGAATGAGGAAGGTTTTGTCCTGTGACTGAGGGACTGAGTACAGCTTCGAGCTTGGACTGTGTAGGAGGCAGGGCACTGAAGACAGTTCCTGGTGCCAATGCCTTGGCACCTTACCCCTGTCTTTACTGTGTGTACTGCAGAGGGCTGAAGGCCAACATTTCCCTTCAGACAGACAACACTACCAAACCTCAGTGCTTAGGTGTGCAGGCAGGGCAGATGTGGCTGTCCTGGACTCCCTCTGTAGAGCATGCTGGCTTCAAACTCAGAGATTCTCAAGAAAACTCATCCCTGGGATATCACAGAAGATGGCAGGACAGAGACTTCACCTAGATTTGGGCTCTGAGAGCTGTGCTATTCCCTGTAGGAAGAGGTCACCTCAGCCTGTTTGTCACCTATCTGACATTGACGATAGTTTAGGGCTTTTACTTCAGTGTCATGTCCTACAGAGACTGGATTTTTCTGACAGTAAGTGGATGAAATGTTATATTTAAAATGTGCATCAGTGTTCTGTGAGGGGTCAGATCCTTGAACTGATGTATGAACAGCCATGTGGGAGTTGGGAATTGAACTGAGCTCCTGAAGAGCAGTCTGCATGTTCTTAACCACTGAGCCATCTCTCCAGTCCCCTGAGTGGTTTTATTCCCACTCACTGTAGTCACTACTATAGGTGAGAGTCAGGTTTTCAGAGGTGACCTAGCACTGCCCATTCCTGTACATGTCTATATTAATAAAGTCACTACTCTAGTCTTCCTGTCCTGGGAATCCAGGATGAGTCCATGTGCAGTGACGCTTGTAAGGATAAGCCTGCAGAGAGGCCACACACCAAAGCTCACAAACATGCAGATGCCCATATTCTGATTCAATGGACCATGGGGTGTGAAACAATGGCCCACCTCCATTCTCTATGGGAGCTTGTTCTGTCAGACAGGCACCCACACTGAACACCCATCCCCTAAAGATGAAGGATCTGTCATGCCAACCTCCATTGTGTCTGTCTTACAGGGGGAAAAGACAAGGTTTTTTTTTTTTTAAATATACTTAATAGTTACATTTTTATAAATGTGTGTCTGTGTGTGTTTCTCTGTATGCATATTAAGATTTAGAAGAGCCAGGTCCTGTGATATAGTTCTAAGTTAGTCTGGAATGTGAGGCAGGAGGATCACAGCTCTGAGTCTAGCCTGAGGTACCATGGGTTAAAGCCATGGTGGGGAGGGTGACTGAGAACATAGCTCAGTGGTAGAGAATTATCGAGCATGTGCAAGACCCAGAGTTCAGTCCCCAGTGGCTGCCCCCAAAACTCTAGGAGGGGGTGAGATCTACTGGGAGCAGCAAGCAGGTGGTTTACTGAGAGGATTAATAATAATAAAAAAAAAACACTTCTCAAAACAGGGTTTCTCTGTGTGGCCCTGGCAGTCCTGGACTCCCTCTGTAGACAAGGCTGGCCTCAGATTCACAGATCTGCCTGCCTCAGCCTCCCAACTGCTGAGATTAAAGGTGTGCACCAACACTGCCCAGCTTAAGATTTTATTTTGAATCTATATTAGTGTTTTGCCTGCATGCCTATCTGTGTACCAATGTGCATTTAATACCCTAGGAGGCTGGAGTGGGCATCGGACTCCTTAGAACTTGGGCTCCAGCAGTTAAGAACCACATTGTGGGTGCTGGGAGTTGATTCTGGATCCTATCCAAGAGTAGCCAATGTTCCAAATTCTAAACCATCTCTCTAGCCCAAACTTTATATTTTGTATGCTTTAGCATTGCTTGAGGTATTTTCCCCCAGTGAATAAACCTTGCTTTTGTAGATTTGATGGCTTGGTTTATAGTATTTCTTTATAGGCAGATGTAGTTTATTAAGGGCTGTGGATACAACCCAGTTGTATTGTCTAACATGTTCAAGGCTCTGGCTTCCAAAATTAACAATGGAAAAAAATACTGCTTGAAATTTGAACAATGACAATTGGTGTACTTTCCAGCCCTGTTATGAAGCCGACAAGTAAGACTTGACGGGTGACACACATGGCGTGTATGCCATCCTGAGGAATAAGTTAGCAGTGTCTATGGAAAGGCCCAGATGTCTGGGGACACAGGAAAAACATTGCTGCCCATGTTCTCGTCCCTGAGACTCATGAGCTCTGGGTACAGAGTGGAGGAGAAACTGAGCTGCAGCCTGATTAGCTGTGGGCTGGGTGAGCTGTTTGCCAGTGACTGAGAAGTCATCCTTCATGGGGAATGAGCAGATCAAACTTGTGAATGAATGATGAGAGAGCGTGGGTGAAGGAAGGAGGAAGTATGTGGTGTGAGTGTGTGTGTAGGGAGGGTGGTGGATGAGATCTGCCTCCAAGTGCTTGTGCAGAATCTTGCAGCTTGGTTGGCACCTAGGAGCAGCTCTATGAGCTGGGAAAGGAATCTCCTTAATAGTACTTCCCCAAGGATGTTGGGGAGACACACTGAGGAGAGCTATGGTAGCATGCTCCAGGGACAGAGGGAGGAGGAACTGCACCAACCTCTCTGAGAACCTCAGTCCCCTGTCCTGCTGGCCCACCTCCCCTCTCCATCCTTTCTCCCCTTCTGTTCACATTACTCCAGGACATAACTTCCATCATGGTCATGTGACCTCCATTCTGCTGTAACCAATGTCTGTTTCCTGATCTCCCCTCTCATCAGCATCTGACCCACAAGACCAGTGTTCCTGCTCCAACAGCTT